GCAGACCTCTCCTGTCTCGCCTGCTGCTCCCCTCAGCAGTGTACTTCATGGATCTGCCTGTTCTGCTCCCCACTCTGTCTCTGGGGAATCCTCTCACTGCCCCTATACCACTGGCCTGTACCCAGTTCTGTATGCATAAATAACTAAGTCATTAAAGCAAATCTGAGAAGTCCCTTCAATTCTGTAAGATAACACCACATCCCTGCTCTTCTAGGCTCTTAGGAAATGGGCCCAGTTTTTCCCTTTATGCAAGTCACAGCTGAAGGAGAGAAAGGAGAGATGGTGAGGGTAGGTAGAGAAAACAAATAAAACCACAAGTCTGTAATTCAAATTGTTTTGAGGGCAGAGGAAAGGGAATTAATTTAGACTTCTTCTGTCTTCTTAGAAGACAGAAATTGGAGAACAGAAGAGGAGGTAAATTTTCTTGACTGTGTGCCCGACACTTTATGTACATCTTACTTGCTTTTCCAAAAGTAATAGAAGTTCCCAAAGGTGTAGTTACTTGTCCAAAGTCTTAAGGTCTAGCAGCTAAGAAAATGCCAGGTTCAGGATTCAGATCTGGATTTGGCTGACCCAAGACTGTGCTGATATCATTTTAATGATAATACTGTGAAGGGTAACTGTGAGGTTAGAGTTGAATGGGGAGAACCATCATATATTTCTAAACTGGGAACTGGCCTGGCCAGTGATTTGAGCAAAATCACACTAATAGTAGCAAGGAGATAAGGATTTGGAGAGGAAAGAGGTTTTAGAGACAGAGAGGATATTACTCTGGAGACTGTTGTAAGGCTCTGTGTGGTTGTGAGGATGAGGGGAAGGATTGGAGGGACATTTCAGTGGCATTTGGATGTAGGTGAGACAGGAAGAGAAAATAAAACTCCTAGCTTAGTGACAGTAGGCAGCAGAGCCTACCTGACGGAACATAGAGTGCAAGTCAAGCTGATGACCAAGACTGTAGGGCGGGGTGTGTTCAGTGTGAGATTCTTGCCGCATCTGCCGAGCTCTCACGTCATGGTGAGCATGTGATATGAATGCGAGGGTCCGGGTGTTCATGAAGTGCGTTTGTATTGAGGGATAGTTTATAAAAGTATAAATCAGTATAAAACTATAATAAAAGAAGTATGTTTATTTTGGTTCTAAAACCTGAATTATGAGTATTCCTTAGAGACTTTTCTAGAGAGGTTTGTCCAAAACTCCAAATTTGTCAGCTCATTATGAGATACTACTTTTTTTAATTGACAAAAATTAAGTAACTTATTTTAGGAAGTTATCTAAGTTATATTTTCAACTTTTTTTTTAACAGCCTGTCTCACACCTGACATATATTATGTTCTTAAAATTTTGCTGGATGCCTTAACATAGGCTCTATGTTCAAAATAGATCCTCTGTTATTCTTTTTTATCACTCTGAAGCTCAGTGTAGTAGTTTTTGTATCTTCTTTTTTGTCTATAATTATACTATCTACCTTTTTGTTTCTAATTAGAAAGATAATACAAGTATCTCATTTGACTTTGTCTCCAGAGCACAGAATGAGGTTTCAGTGGGTGTTTGTTGAATGCATGTGTGACTGAAAAACTAAACCAGTTTGTCCTTGCTCTGTATTGACTCTTCCCTGTGCCTCCATTTCCCCAGTTTTGTGTTGTGGAATACATAAGTTGCCATGCAGTGAAATTGTATAATATGGTCTTTGTTTATTGTTAGTTGCCTTTTAAGAGTTAGATGGTAAGTCTTTGTAATATTGCTTCCTTTGATGTGTGATGAATACTTTTAATCCTTCGGTCATCTTTTTTTTTTTTTAACAAGTTAATTACTTTCTATTATGTTGATGGATTGTTTTATGTTTTAGATGATTCCCTCTAAATATTGCAGCACAGGGACTATTAGAGCTAACTGCTACCACCTTGAGTTTTTTCAGAAGAGGCTTCTTATTAAAAAATATATAATTTCAGTGTTTGTGCAAAGCATTTTTTGCCATCATCATTGCCTCAAGATGGAATTAGAAGATTAAAAAGATAAAGTGTTTCAATCATTTAATAAGTATCTACCATATTTATTCTCCTGGTTTTCCTTACACTTGCTGTTTCACTTGGAACAAGGATAAAGGGATTCATAGGAATGCCTTAGAACTGCCTGCTCTTGCTTCTCAAGAGGGGGTGACATCCTGCAGCCAACTGAAGTGCCAGAGTTCTTAGCGTCCGGTCCCCTAAAAATTCTTGTGCAGTTCTCTAAACCCAATACCTTTTGTGGTCTTGGTAAGAAAAGGGAGAGGGAGATGGTTTTCAGGCTTGGGGGAGTGCAAACTGATGACTTAGAATAATTTAGGGAAAGAAGGTATTATTGTTTAGAGGAGTCAGCCAAAAGGTTTTGAGTCTTGACTTTCCCCCTTGGTTATAGGATCTTGTGGAAATAACTGTAGCCTTGCAAACTCTGGCTTTCTCACTCATAATATTTGGGCAGTGACATAGAACTCCACCTCTTAAGTGCGCTTGTGGAAATTAAATGAGATAATTTAGGCAAACATTTATCAGAATTAACTTAACAGTTTTAAGCAAATGCTAGCTCTGTTAATATTGTTATTAGGGCTCCTCACAGCATCCATCTTTGGCCTCCTGTGATTGTAAGAGGTTTTAGTGATAGAAATGGATCTCACTTCAAAACTTAGACCAGAGTGCTGCTCTGTATTTCTGAAGCCCTTGACAGTTTATGAAGCACATTCACATTTGTCATCTCATGAGTCCTTATATCTTGAGATACTGTGATTCCAATATAGCCCTTTAGTTCCAATGCTTTAGATAAAGGGGGAGGAGTTGAAAGGAGAACAATGACAAGCACCTGGACTGGGTCTGAAAAGGAGGTTGAGAAGGGGGTGATAAGAGGGTAATTCATTGCAGATTTCCACTGTTTCAGTTTTAACCCTTGACTGACTGAAAAGGTCAAAACACTTGCTGTTTGAAGAGGTCTTGCTGGTCACTGGATTGATTATTCCTAAGCTGAAAAACATGCAGGGATGTGTGCCCGTGCATGTACATGCAACACATTCAGTATGTGTGCATATTCTGTCAGCTTTCCTTTTTAGCATTTGCTTTATAACAAAAATGCAAGATTCAATTTAAAAATGCACAGATCGAATTTTAGATGCAGCGTTATAAGAGAAGTGGGATTTTTCTAAAACTGTTCACTTAAAATTTTTTATTTATGAATTTTTATATTTTTATTTAAATTTTAAATAAAGTTTTAAAAATTCATTTTATATACTTCCTTACCTGATTCTCCCCCCCCCCCATCTTAGAATGATAGAGTTATAGAATATCAAAGACAGAACCACATGATTGCTCATTTACTACCAGGAAACAGAATCATGGGGAAAGGCAAGAAGGATGTGGAATAAACAAACGTGGATTGATTCCTACTTATGTGTCCTGGTGGTGTTCGAGTCGTTCATGCATTCTTTTTGCAGGGGAGAGTTTTCTCTGTGCCAGGCACAGTGCTAGCTCTTGTGTACAGAGTAGTAAATAGAGCAGACATGTTTATGACTGTCCTCAGGGAACCTGAGAGGCTAGTGAGAAAGGCATATATTCCGGAGATATGTGTAAATTGATGCATAAAGGCAATGAATAGTATGTGTGAGAGTAGCTATGAAAGGGACTTCTTTTTATAGGGTTATCAGGGAAGGTTTCTCTGAAGAGATATTCCATGAGCTAAAGCTTGAATAATATTAATAGTAACAATAATAATAATCTTTTTTCAAGAGTCTTCTGCTAGCTAGATGCTGTCATCATCATTTTAGATATGAGGAAATGAAAGACCAGAGGTTGAATAACTTTTCAAGGTCATGCACTAGAGGATGCAAAGATAATGAGAAAGAGCCTTCTGTAGTACTTAGAGAGAGTAGCACCCCCCGTGGCCTTGAAAGTGGGAGAAGCAGGCAGGGCTTATTCTTACTCTCTCCCTCTGAAAAGGCACAGGGGAAGATATGCTCTAGGGATGGAGATGCTTGGATATTGGATGGATTTTCCTTTAAATGAAATTCTCAAGAATGATGAGGGGAGCTGGAGTGGGAAAGAGCATAACTTCAGTGCTGAAGGAGAATGACCAGAGGATGGATAACAACAATAAAAAAGGGGGGAAAGGATAGTGTATTTGATAGTGTGGGCTTCAAAGCAATGGGGAATTTTAGTCATTTACAAATAATGGTATCTATCTTACCTCCTAATTTGAAGATTTAGAGGCTAAAAAGAAAGCAGAACAACAGTCTTGGTCTTTAGAGGAAGGATCCTTAGTGACTGGTAGGTAGGTTTTACTTAGGCAAAGACATTGGAAGAGAATGTTTGTTTCTGTTTAGAGGGGAGTATCCATGGGTGTTTGCTGATTAGCATAGGAGTTACCGAGGTCAGTGGAAGAGTTGTGGGGGAAGAGGGCTGGGTTGGGATATAGAGAACAATGAGGTTGTGTTGGTTAGGGCAGTGATAGAAGATAGAGACCCTTGAACTTCAGTGCAGGTGACACAATGGAAGTAAACAGATAAACTACATAATGACGTCACTTCCCATTGTCTCTGGGAATGGGAATGTTTCCTCAGAGAGTATGGTAACTTCCCGTGCAGCCAGCCAAAGGTCTTAAGGAGTGATGTAGCAGTTTTCAGGGGGCTTGATGCCAGAGTCAAATGGTGACTTCCAGGGACACATTGAATAAGTGGCAAAGCAAGTCTCCTGACACCAAACTTCAAGTTTGCTCTCCAGTCTACTTTATCCATTTTAGTTGTTGTGCTCATTTACTTTACTTCTGGCAGAGCTGGGTCCATTAGATTGTTAGAAAATGAAAATTTAAAGAAAAAGTAAAAACCTTAAAACTTGAATGTGCTTCTACTAAGTGCCTGAGGAGATCTGTGCAAAGGGGTGGGGAACGGCTATGCAGCAGCAGCCCTGGAGAGCAGCTCCATGGCCTGGAGCTGCGTGGCCGTGACTGTGTGCTTTACTCTCATGCGTGTGCTCTGTCCACAGGGTCATGTAGGCACAACGGCAACCAAGAAGATCGATGTCTACCTCCCCCTGCACGCAAGCCAGGACAGATTGCTGCCAATGACTGTGGTGACCATGGCCAGCGCCAGGGTACAGGACCTGATTGGGCTCATCTGTTGGCAGTACACAAGTGAAGGACGGGAGCCGAAGCTCAAGTAATCCTTCCCCTTTGGCTGCTCTCGTTTGTGACTGTCTCCTTGCCTCTGCTGTGCTCTGGGTCTGGTCAGTCAGTCTGGCGGGGACCTGGGAACCAGTTATCCACACTGATCAAGGTCACCAGATCTTGGGCCTCTGTATCTCATAGATTTTACTTGCATTATAGACTGTGATCAGTTTGTGAATTCAGGCCTGGGGAAGTGCATTTTAACAGTTACCTTTTATTCATGTTTGCTGTTAAAAGCAGAGTCCAGAGATTCAGGAGGGGGAAATAATGTTTGTAGAGATCCTGCCATGAGTTGGGCAGTGTCTGAGTGCTTCAGACCTGATAACCTTGTCTGGGTCTCTAAGATCTCTGTGAGGTGCAATTCGCATCCTTACTCTGCAGAGAGGAAACTCAGGGTCAAAGAATCTTACTTGCTGAAGGCTACTACCTCAGTGGGAGATGATGACAGTCAAGATTTGATTCCCAGTCTATATGACACCAAAGTTTTGCATTCTTTCCTTTTGGTCTGTGTTACAGAACTCAATTTTTTTTTTTGAAATAACTAGGCATTGTTCCTCACTAAACAATTATATTAAAAAACATAGCATTTAAAGGTGGCGTTTCTATGTCTGTACATCATAACTTGAACATTACCCTGCTCTGTTGCATTGGTTCTCCAATCCTTGAATTTTTTAGGTGACAGCCATCCTCTTTTAGTTTTATGGGCTTTTCCTAGGACTAGAGTTTGAAATACAACAGCATACAGCGGATGGTTTGATTTTAGAAATGAATTCTCATGGAGACTTTCAGATTGAGCATGATCCAGTCAGCTGTCAGGTTCCAGACCCCTTTGTTCCCCCCCACCCTTTAGGTACATTAAATTTGCACATAAAATTATTCTTTCAAGTCCTTATTGACATAGCCCTCCACTTCGTCTGAATAAATTGTGGATATAAAGCTAATTTTTATTGCTCCTGGGTAATGAAAGCCTTTTCAACCAAGATACCACGTAGGCTCAGAAAGGATTGAGTCAGCACTGTGCTCAAGGCAGAGCTATGGTGGCGTCCCTTTCCAGCATGAAGTAGAAGCAAGAAAACAAGAAGGGGTCAAGGCTCTCAGTACTAAAACATTTCTTATTGCTGGCACTGAAACCAAGAGAGGCCGAGGATGTTGCCCAGGTCTGCACTGCTAGTAAGAGACAAAGACAGGAATTGAACTGTGACACACCTTGTACCGATGAGGAAACGAAAGCTGAGAGAGCCTAAGTCACCTTCCTAAATAAGACAGTAAGTCTCATTTGAGCCCAGTAATTTCTTGACACCAATATCAAAGATCAAATTTATTATCACCACCATTCTTAGTAGGAGTCTAAGTATCAGAGTTCACAGTGGCAGATACAACCAAAACTCTGAGTTTCAGTTGACGGCTTAACTTGTATCAATGAGAATAAATTCTGCCAGTGACAGATCTACTCTCTACTTTTGATTTAAAAAAAAAAAAATCAAAACATGGATACCACATACCCAAGTTTATGTAACCATAGCTTCTCAGTTGCTTTTTTAGGAAAAAATGACACTTCCTGGAAAAAGGTAATAGTCCATTTTACACAGGTGCTTTTTCTCAGGGCAGCAGTCATGCAGAAATGCAATGTAGAAGTGCTTCAAGCGTGAGCCCGGTTTCTTTTGTTCTTAAGTATTGGAATAGAGCCTTATTTGATCTTTTCCAGGAGATTGGCCTTGTAGAAGAGCGCTTCATTCACGTGGGGCCAGATTGCTAGCAGCTTGGGCAAGCCTTCCTCTAGTTTTAGTCTGGTTGTCAACAAAACCACTTATTTAAGAATATTGTTCTCCCATCTCTGTGCCTTGAAGACCGTCTGTGATAGTAGGCTTTGCCGCCAGAGAAGGAATGGAGAATCCGACTGTAATTCATTGGCTTCCTTTCTCATATGCTAACTCTTAAGCAATATTGGAATGTGATGTTTAAGCTGATTTCCTGGTTACTTTGATGCTCTGATTGTAGGTTAAACATTTGGAAGAAACTAACTGGCATTTTAATATGTAGAAATTTAAATTCACACTTTGTTATATAGATTTATGTTTATTAAATTTTGACTAGAAAATGTTTTAAAAATTCAGTTAGAAATTGATAAAAATTTCTGCTTAGAAATTTATTTTTATTTTGGGAACTTACTGTAAAATGACTTTTTAAAAATAAATATGCCATTGAATCTGGAAAAAATTATTTCCTATAAGTTATAGAATTCTATATAAACTTATTAAGTCAACATTGTTAATTGCTATTATTTTCTTAAATTTTCCATTTTGCCTCTGGGTGATTAAGAAATGTGAATTCAGTTTTCCGTTTTCATGTGTGTTTCTGTCAGATTCTCTGAAATTTCATTTTACAGATTTCATGGCTCAGAAGACTTCTGCGTGCTGTATTGTGATTTGTGACACCTTTTTTTCCATATGAAAAAACCTCCTATTTTATCCATACAGAGTATTCCACCTTTTGCTTTGCTTTATTTTGGCACCGTGAGCATCTCTGCCCCGGCCTGTGCCCTCCAATCCGCCGCGTTTTTATTTGTACTTGTTTAATATAGCTTTCTTCAGTCTTCTACCTTTGCCTTTTTGTTTTAGATTGTTGAGTTGTTTTGTGATTTTTTTTGGACCCAATATTAAGTCACTGCCTTTTCTTAAGGAAGTTTATCTTAATATCTATTGTAACCACTGATAAAGTTGTTTTATGTTAGTCAACTTGTTTTAAGCTTTGACTGTTGTTTTGAATTGGTTTTCTTTTCTGTTTTGATTAATTTTTAATTATGAGGCATGTGACATGTAAGATTTGAAAAATATTAATAGGCAGTTTCAGGTATTTATGGAAAAATTACATTGCAAATACAGTATTTCCACAGACCTCCTCTCTGTCCCTGCCTGACTCCTCCCTAAGGTGCCATTTGCATTGCTGTCTTCCATTTGTTATAATGTGCACTTCCTAAGAATGGACCATGTAGACTGGCTTCACCACACTAAAAATGTCCTGTGCTTCATCTAGTCACCTCTCCCCTCTGGCAGTTGCTCATCTTTTTGCCATTTTCTATAGTATCAGCCAGTTAGAGTCATACAGTAGGCAGCCTTCTCAGACAGGCTTCTTCTACTGAGTTATACATATTTAAAGTTCTTTCATGTCTTTTCATGACTTAATAGCTCTTTTTTTTAATGTTGTAGTATCCACTATGGATGTACCACAGGATTTCTCCATTCACCTGTTGAAGGGCAGCTTGGTTGCTTCCAGTTTTTGTGTGGACATAAGTTTTGCATTCACTCAGGCACATACCTGCAAGCACAGTTGTTAGATTTGTATGGTAAGCCTGTGCGTAGCTTTCTTAGAAGCTGCTGAAGTGGTTACCCCATTCGGCATTTCCATAGGTATTGTGTGAGAGTCCCTGTTGCTCTACAGTCTTGCCACATTTGGTTTTAGCTGTTCTGGTGGTGTGCACTGAGGTCTCACTGTTTTAATTTACAGTTCCCCATTAACAAGATACGGAGCATTTTCCCTGTTTCCATTTGCCCATCGTTTTTTTTTTTTTTTTTCTTTTTGGTGAACTCTGCTCAGGGCTTTCATCTACTGCTTAAGTCAAATTGTTTTCTTATTGTTAACTTTAAAAAGTTCATTGTTTAATAAGATAGGTTATTTGTAAAGATTTTCTCCCAATCTGTGGCTTCTCTTTTCAGTCTCTTAGTAGAAGCTTTTAGTATTAATAACTCTGACTTAGCAATTTTTCCTTCATAGGTTATGCTTTTGGTGTATATCTAAAATCATTTTCTTCCCTGTAATCTTCTAGAAGTTTTGTGACAGGTGTAAATTTTGTATCTAGATTACCTTTTTTTTTTTTTTTTTTTTTAACATATGGACCCCTAGTTGCTCTGGCACTCTTAGTTGAAAAGACTCCTTTCTCCCATGAATTGCCTTTGCTACTTTGTCAGAGGTTAATTGACTATATTTGTTTGGGGCTATTTCTCACTTAGGAGATTTTAAAAACATTTCTTAATTTATATTTCTCCATCACATTCAAGAGTGAAAATACCTAAAGTTCAGTGAATAACAATTTAGAAGTGGGGGAAGAGTAAACAGGTAGACTTAGAGATAGCAAAAAATAAAGGGAAAAGAATTCAAATTGCTAGATGGCCAGAAACCTGTTACTTGGGTAATTACACTGTGCTATGCTACCCTGACGCACACATGGGCTGGTGAAAGTACAGATGAATGTTTGACCTTTTGCTACATGTTTTCTATACGTCTTTCAGTTTGAATTCTTTGCCTTTTAGCTTTTGCTGTCTACATGCTCAGCTCTGTTTACTCTTCTCCCATCTCTAGACTGCTGCTACTCGGAGTTACCTTAGAGCCATCACTGAGAACCCTTCACCCAAATAATAGCCTAAAAGACCCTTCCCATGATGACTCCAGCTTGCTCCCATCCACAAAGAAAAAGAAAAATATAAAATGGTCTCATTTATAGGAGGAATGTGTAGAGAAAACAAAAAAAGGAATCAGGGGGAAAAAACTAACTAGAATAAAGTTAAAATCAAAATCATCAGGCAACTCTAGATCAAAGACGTCGTAACACATCACTTTTCTAACTAGTTCCTTCTTGACACATCATATCTGCTTTTGCTTTTTCCTTAGTCTGAAATGCTTTTCCAATTCCTCTCTTGATAATCTGCAAATCCCAATGACTGAAGTCCTTTTTTTCATTCAGCTAATATTTGTTGAGTTCTGGGTCCCCGATATTCAGGATAAAGTAGAGAACAAAAGAAATGTGGTTGCTGCACTTGAAAAAAAAAAAATTAGTTTGGTTGAGGAAAAATTATCAAGTCTAATAGCATCCTGGTTCATTTTAGTTATTGTATTCATTCATGCATTCAACAAGTATTTACTGAGTGTTTGCTATATGCCCAGGTGGTTTGCTGGGTATACAGTGGTGAGTGGAACTAGAGTCTCTGCCATGAATTC